ATGAGACCCTGAGAAACCGGTGTCCTGATCTCCAAGCATTCTGCATTTTATCCTGCAACACCATTGCCAGTTTAATCCCTTTTGCTCAAATGTAATAAATATTGAACAAGGGAGTTATCAATACAAACAAGAACAGAAACTTCTCGGACTTCCTGCTGCTCTCTGTACCCACTCAGACTGTCGTCCGGTTTTCAAGTTTCTCCATAAGTAGGCCCCAACCTCCCTGCTTTCAAATATATGCCTGTTTCTCAAATATTTATCATATGTAATTCTTTCCCTTCTTGCCTGAAACAAATATTGCTCCTCTTCCTGCACACACCTAAATCCTGGTCATCCTCAGGCCCTCCTGAAATGCTGACTGGACCAGCCCCACTGATCTCTCTACTCCTGGGGACTCTCTTATTGTGCCTGGAGGCAAATTATCATACAAATTAGCACAGACACACTGTACCTCACCTTGATGTGGCCATTGTTGTCCATGGAAACTGCATTTTCATGTGGGAACTATGAGTCTTGTCACAAATAGATTGTAAATGCTTTGAAATTAGAGATTATAAAGTACTGGTTCATGATCTCCCACTGTGTCTGGCATAAGAACCCACGTAGTAAATACTGAGGTTGTTTAACTTAAAGTGCAGCCCTCACCATCTTGATTAAAACTTCAAAACTTATAGCAGGTTTTACATAATATCGCAAAAGTAGACTCAACAAAGAAATGAGGTGATAGCAGGGGTAAGGTGGGAAAAAATCAAGGGTTATTGCAAGGAAACTTGTAGCCTGTAGGGGCACTAACTCTAGTTTTTTCCAGAAAACTTTAAAGAGCTCTCTTGTGAAAAAATATTCTTTTGAGTAATTGAGGGGCACAGCTCCCAGACTGGAAAAATACTTGGGGGTCTATCACCTTTTCTGATGTTCCTACTTCTATTCTTTTTTCTTCTGACTACTTCTGTTAGAAAAGAGAATACTAAGGATACTTATTCCTCCTTCTCAGTCCAAACAGAAGCAAACCCAAGTTATATTTGAGGTATCTGCATTTGTTCTTTTAAGCAATTCTTTGTCTTGTTTTCTCCCATGCTCTTTCCCATTTGTTAACCTGTAATTTTTATTGCCCTTTGGTAACACTGCATGGATATTTGTTCCGATTTGCAGATTAAATCACCAGAGTGAGGTGAGGGTTGCCTGAGGTTGCACAATAAATCTGGCCCCCAACCTGGGTAACCCTTGAGTTTCCAGTCTGTTGATTGGCCACTGACCCGTGCAGCATGCACACAAAGGAAGCTGCACCCACAGCACTCTGCTGTGGACGGCTGCTGAGCTTCGCGTTCATTATTGGGATCGCTTTGTTTCCTGCCAGGCCCAGCATTTTCTTCCAGCCTGGCTTGTGGGCTTCTTCCCAGTGCCTCCCCTGCATTCTGAACATGAAAGCTAGGAGATGTGCTTTAGAGAAGCTTTAAGATGTATAACAAACCAGAAGAGTGAGCGCCCATCGAACTCCATCAGCAAGGCCAGAGCTGGCCATAGAGGCCCTGTTTACTTACAATTAATGAATTTAGATGGGGGAAGGGCCTGGGAAAGGCTCCAATGACTATGTTCTATTTGGAGGAATTGAGATGTCCTTCTGCTATAAAAGTGAAGCTGTGTAATACAAACGAGTTTACCTTTCCTAAATCTTCCCCTCATCATACCGATACTATATCAGTGAGATTTGGTTATGATTTATATAAATGGTAGCTAAACAATTCAAACAGCTGAGGGGGAGAAATCTCATTTTACAACTTCACATGCTGTACCGAACTAAATAAGTAGTGTAGGCTGTTGGCTTTGTGACAAGTCCTTTGTCATTTTTCAGAAAACATTTTGACTTGTTAAGGTCAATTTGGAACAGTGGAAAAAATACAAGAAAATAAGGTACATACATGTTGAGCAGGGGATAAATTGAATGTTACAAGTCAGCTGCTAGCTTACAGTGGCAATATTAGCAGGCAGCAACACACCAACCTAATGAGTAATAGACCCTGAGTCACTGGAGAGATACCAGCACCTTTGGTGAGTCAGGTGCACATTTGGGTGCTGGAGGAGATGGGCTGTGGGTTGATAGTCTAGCAAGAAGCTCAGCCTTGTAAACAACTATACCATGTGCAAAGCGAGCTGGCATTGGAGCTTACTGAGCACAGCTGCTCAGGAGTGGGAAGCTAGTCTTGCCTGTGATCTCTTAGATTCCAAAGGTTACTTTCCTCTTTGTTCCCTTCCCAGGGTCTGTTGGAGTAAAAACTGCAGACTAGTTTCAATTAAGAATTTTCCCAGAATTCTTAAGTACTTTTGCTGTCTTAAAATCTCCTATTAAGAATTCTGTTACCTTGGTTTAAGCCTCCAGTTCCTTCAAGATGTAGAAGAGGCCAAAGGGCCCTTGGTTTTGGCCTTCAGAGGATGGTCCTTATCTGAGTGAGCACTGTAGAAAGACTGAGTGCAGTGACCCCTGAATGAAAGTGATTTTGCAAAGTTTAGGCAGATGCCACCATCAGAAACTGATGTTTCCTGCTGTACTTCTCACCTTCCTTTGGAGCACCCAGTCCAGAAATGACCAGTCAAGGGGGAAATGCTGATATTGATCTGTCCCTTAGAGCAGTGTTTCTGCCTTTTTGATGGTAAAGCACAGCAATGCATTTTACATTATAACCCTGAATCTATACATACATGAAACTGAAAGATTCACAAAATGATCCCTGTTCTTACTATTTTCAGTGTATGCTGCCAATTTTTTTTGTTTTGTTTTTAATGCTGGTTGTGGCTTCCTAAGGGCTGCATGCAGTTTTAAAATCTGTGCCCTAGGGATAAAATGCTACCTGTGGTGATCATCTTTGGCCAGTCTCCATGAGGCTTGCCCCTAATCTCCAGTCCTTGGACATTTTGCATGCCTGGCCTTTGCAGTTGTCACCGATGGGAAATAGAGCTGGACCCAAAAGCTCCAAAGTCGGGAAGGAGGTATCACAGATGGGACTGGGCCCATTCTGCAGGGCACTCAATATGTACAGCTGGTTTTACATCAGGGGTCAAGGGTGGGGGGACTTGAGCATAGGTCTCTGGGCACAAAGCAGGACCTTTGCCCTGGGGCTTGTGATGTGGCTGGGTGGAGCCTGTATTGCTCTCTCCCCATCATTCCTGTCCAAAGCCCAGGAAACTGATATGCCACCCCTGAGGGAGACAGCCTGCTTCTCCAGGCAAGGAAGTGTTTCACTTGTGGAAGACTCTGGGGACAGAATCGTTGAGAAAGGGGGTGCTGTGTCCTAGTGGTGGAAGAAAGGAGAGGACGCGGGGTAGGAAGCTGTGGCATGGACCTCATCCGAGGTGGCACCTGACTGGGAATCGTGAACTCCACTACTTCATGAGTAACCAGCACTTTGAGTGAAAAGTGGCTGTACCCTCAGCATGGTTCGTTGCACCAGCATTTGGTGAATGCCTACTAGGTGTCAGATGCTGACCTGGATGCTGAGTGTAGGGTGTCTGCAACATGCCTAAGAAGTCTCAGTACAGGGTATAAGAGGGTGCTGTGGCAATACAGATGAGAAGCACCTTTAGGGTAATGGGGTGATCCTAATTCAAGCTTCCCAGAGAAGGATGTCTGTAGAACTTAGGATGAGTAGACTTCTTATTAGCAAGGGAGGTAGGGCATGCCAGGCCACAGGACTGCTGGGACAAAGGCCAGAGCACAAGAAATGGCAAGCGTGGCTGTGCTCCCAGCCAATAATTTGGTACTGTCAACTGATGTGACAGAATAGCTGGAGAGGCAGATCCTAAAGGGTCCTGTGTGCCATGCTAAGTCACAGCCTCGACTTCATCTTGTCACTGACTGGGGGCAAGGCTCTGAAGGGGTTTAAAGAGCTCAGTCTCATGGTTAAACCTGAGTTTTAGAACAGTCACTCACTGTGAAGTGGAAGGTGGGTTGGCCAGGGGGTCATCTAGTCTGGTGAGAAGCAACGATGACATGAAGGGGTGAAGAGAGATTCAGAGGAAGTGATTCACAGGATTTAATAGTTGGAAGGGGAGGAAAAGGAAGACTTTCAGATTTCTGGCATAGAGGAATGAAGTACAGTCAGGTATAAATAAAGAGAAATGGAAACAGCAGGTTTTAGGGGTGAAGGTAGCAGAATGGGTTAGAAATGGCATTTGAGTACTCCTGTGTGCTAGGTAATTACCTACTGACTCTGTATATCTATTTAATTTGCATAAAGACTTTGAGTAAATGGTCTTATCCCAGTTTTTCAAATTTCTGAGTTAGATGCATGATACAGTACAAGAAAGAGCAAGTGGCTGAGCCAGCATTGGTGTTCACACTGCCCGACTACAGCGACAGTGCTTGTTGGCTACATCCTGCCGCTTCCCAGTTCAGAACATGTTAAATTTGAGTTTCCAAGTGAAAAGTACAGAAAAAAGGTGACTGTATAGATTTGGGGCTCACAGGGTAATTTCGGTTAGTGACAGTTTGAACTGTTCCTTTGAGAAGCAAATCTTGACTCCTTGGTTGTGAACGTTGACTTAAAAAAAAAAAATCTTACTCTTATTCCTGACTTGTCTAGGACAAGCTTTAATGGATTTTTACTGCTGTGAACTTTCTTTTCAGCTAGTATTTTGTCTTAATATAGCTACCTTCATCCTGATTATATGCAAGTCAATATATTCATGGATATACCCATTTGTGGAATTTGAACTTTAAGTATACAAGATTATAGCCATTTGGGGGGCTTTTGTTTAAGGATAGTAGGAGAAACAGATCTCTGATTCTGAATGGGAAGATAATATAGTTTTTTTTCCTACCTTTTCTTGTACTCCTCTAAAAAAAAATAAACAGCTGTATGCCTCTGCTAAATACTAACTGCATCATCACCTTCTGTCCAGATCAGTCAGGTTACATTTGGTTTTAAGGAATTAGGAGTAGTTGGTTTCTTTTCAGGAACTCAGTAACTCATTCACTTGTTATTCTTTTCTTTTCTTGACTCTGATAGGTGGCGTTGAATGTTCACAGGAAGCAGCACACCGCACGGCTGCATGAGGCCACTCACCAAACTTAATGAAGGATGCCAGTGTGGAAAAATTTTGATGTGCCAGTATCTTCGTTCTACAGTGTGTTCCATTCTTTTGCAATTTCAGAAAAATGGTACTAAAAGAAAATATTTTGTGAAATAAGATCGTTTTCCATTTTTAATGACCAACATGTAGTAAGATGGACATCTGTTCTACAGAATACAAAGTTCTATGGTCTCGAAGAAGCAGTTTAAAACTGATCCTAAATAAAAACAGACCTGAATGGATATGAGAATGTTTATTAGTGTCAGAAGACTCAAAAAATGCCAGTTTATGCAGTTGTTTGCCATTTGTTTTATAATAAGCCTCATGGTTTTTTGGAACCGGATTGATAATCACATTGTGAGACATATGAAGTCGTACTCTTACAGATACCTCATAAACAGCTACGACTTTGTGAATGATACCCTGTCTCTCAAGCACAGCTTAGCTGGGGCTCGCTACCAATACTTGATTAACCATGAGGAAAAGTGTCAAGCACAAGACATCCTTCTTCTACTGTTCGTAAAGACTGCTCCTGAAAACTACAATCGACGTTCCGCAATTAGAAAAACGTGGGGCAATGAGAATTATGTTAGATCTCAACTTAATGCCAATATCAAAACATTGTTTGTCTTAGGAACTCCTAACCCACTGAAGGGAGAAGAACTGCAAAGAAAATTGGTTTGGGAAGATCAAATGTACCATGATATAATTCAGCAAGACTTTGTTGATTCTTTCTACAATCTTACTCTTAAATTACGTCTGCAGTTCAGTTGGGCAAATACCTTTTGTCCACATGCCAAATTCCTTATGACTGCTGATGATGACATATTTATTCACATGCCAAATCTCATTGAATACCTTCAAAGTTTAGAACAAATTGGTGTTCAAGACTTTTGGATTGGTCGTGTTCATCGTGGTGCTCCTCCCGTTAGAGATAAAAGCAACAAATACTATGTCTCCTATGAAATGTACCAGTGGCCAGCTTACCCTGACTATACTGCTGGAGCTGCCTATGTAATCTCTGGCGATGTGGCCGCCAAAGTGTATGAGGCATCACAGACACTTAATTCTAGTCTTTACATAGACGATGTGTTCATGGGCCTTTGTGCCAATAAAATGGGGATAGTACCACAATACCATGTGTTTTTTTCTGGGGAAGGTAAAACTCCTTATCATCCCTGCATCTACGAGAAAATGATGACATCTCATGGACATGTACAAGATCTTCAGTACCTTTGGGAGAATGCCACAGATCCTAAAGTAAAAAACATTTCAAAAGGGTTTTTTGGTCAAATATACTGCAGGTTAATTAAGATAGTTCTCCTTTGCAAATTGACCTATGTGGACACGTATCCTTGTAGGGCTGCGTTTGTCTAACAGTACTTGAATGTTGCATGTTTTCACTGTCACTGAGCCAAACCTGGATGAAAAACTTTTAAATGTTTGTCTACTCTAAGTAAAATGAATAGACAAATATTTTGAAAGCCCAGTCTATCAGAATGTTTCTTTGATTCTAGAAGCTATTCAACACAACTTATCTACTTCATTGCCTAAATTCATTTCCAGGTATTCATATTTAGAAAAGTTTATATTACTAATGAAAACAAAACTAAAGGGAAATTCAAGTTCTCATTTAATGCCTCATGTATATGTGTGGTTGTGAGAAGTTAAGAAGCCTTGCTGTTATAATAACTGCTTTTGGAAAATACCATCTTTAAAGAAATTAATATATTGTTAGACCAGGTATACAAGTTAATTTTTGTTAAGAAGCACTTCATGGAGGTGGTAGGGGCAGGGAAGGGTTGGCATAGGAGAAAGTACATGAATCTGGTTAAAAAAAAAAAAAAGTCTCTTAAGAGGAGATGTAGGAAAATGTACATCATTTCATTATAAACAGCCAAATCATTTATTGTCACATCCAAGTAGCTGGTTTTACCTCCATGATGTTGGAGTCATTTAAAATATATCTTTTTTTCAAAGTTTAATGTGAACCTTAATAGCTCTGTCCTAACTGGTACTTTATATTTTTTTAAATTTTCTTTTAAATTTTAGAAAGTGACACAAAACATGGATAGTTGGTTGCCCATAGGGTCCTTCTCTAGGGAGAAATCATTGTTACTTCAAATAAGCTGATTTTCATTTAATGAAATTTTCAACTGGTTTTTAAATATTCAATATTGGTCTGTACTTAAGGTTGTTATTTCAATGTAGTTTACATAGAGTAATATAATAATGGGGACTTTAAAAGGAAAGATAGAACATTAAAAGCCTCTTTTCTCCATAATTTATAAAATTTTAGTGTCCACATCATTGTACTAAGTACTAAAATTAGCCTACCCCTTCCCAAGAAAGTCTGTTAAACTATAGCAGGTTGTTCCAAGTCCAGAGTTTTAAATTGAGAGTATTAAACATCAAAGCTATAATATCCAAAATAATCTATTTTTTCATCAGATAACTATCAGAAGTAATCTTTATCTTTTACATATTTCAAATTTGAAAGCAGAGTAAAAATGATGGGAAAGTTGCCAGAAAGAGGTTTAAAGCATTTGTAAAGCTACATGTTCCTTGTAATTAAAGGGATGTGGCTGAGATCTAATAAAGTGACATTTGTTTTACAAAACAGGATAAAAATGTGGCTGTGATGTAAACTACCTCCCCTCCCTACAGAAAGAATTAGGTGATATCCGTTGATAGGCAGATTATATGAGGGCCAAAATAATGACTTCAGCAAAAGTAGTTGAATGGATTATAAAACCTTAGCTATAGAGGCACCTGTTAGGGAAAATAAGATGTCTCATTTAATAAGATGATGTCTGAAACATGCAAAATAAAACTAAAAAAGATTTCTCAGTAGACAAAACTGGATTATGATATTTATCATTTGTAGCAGGTAGCTTTTTGAAAATGTTTACAGAAATGTTTTGTTAATTTTTTTTCTATTTTGAAATTTGAGGCTTGTTTACATTGCTTAGATAATTTAGTATCTTTAATGTCAGAACTACAGTGTCAAATATTCAAGGTTGTAGTTACTTTCAGAATAGGTTCAAAGTTTTAGAGCATCATGGTTTAAATTTTCTAATCAATTTTAAAAACTGTGAGAACAAAAGCACACTTTGACAAAGCAGGCTTATAATTAATTTTTATTAGTTAATTCTTTAATAACCTTTTGCCTTTTGACCATATATACCCTATGTATCTATACTTGGAACTGTCTAAATTTACCATTAATTGAAAACATCAGTGTCACTGGCCATCAAAGTGATCTTGTTTACAGCAATACTTTTGTGAAACAGCTATTTATTTGCTGAAAGAGCTCTCCCTGAACTGTGTTCTTCTTTTCATTTTTGCTTAGAATAGAACAGAACAGGTTTAAATTTAAAGGAAATATGAAGGCATTTCCTTTTTTTCTAAGAAGGAAGTTGCCAGATGATTCCTTTGTCAGACTTAAAGTACTAAGAATAGTATTTATAAATAAAAGGGTTCCAGCCTTTTAAAAAAGAAGGAAAAAACTTTTTGGTGCTCTAATGCAGGGCTATCTTTTTTAAAAATACCAACAAAGGGAAAATAAACAATCACCCTGGATGGTCACTTGAGTAGAAGATGATTATAAACAGTGTTATTAAAAATTTTTTACCTTTCGGTTGGTTTGCATCTTTTTTTCCATATTATTAATTTTATACCAAAATGTTAAATATTTGTATTATTTGAATTTTGCTCTTGTCTGGCAAAATAATTAGTGGGTTTTAAAAAAAATTTATGATTTGCAATAAACAACTTAAAAATTGTCAGTAAATGTGTATTTAAACTCCTGTGTGAACGCCATTTGTTTATATAATCAACTTGTGTTTAAATGTATGACACAGTCTTAGTCCTATGCCTGTTCAGGCTTGCTGCTCTGCCCAGGATAGAGGAGTATCACGTCCTCTGTATTATGGAGTCACCTAAGATGCTTCTGTTTGTTAAATGACTTATGCTGGAATATCTAGATGGGAGGGATGTTCTTTCCTAATACAGTCATGTGCCAAATGATGTTTTGGTTAGCGACGAACATACAACAGTGGTCCTATAAGATTGTATGGAGCTGCCCTATACAGATGTACCCTTTTTTATCTTTTATTCTGTATTTTTATTGCACTGTTTGTATATTTAGAGATGTTTAGATATACAAATCCTTACCTTTGTGTTAGGATTACCTACAGTACTCAGTGCAATAACATGCTGTACAGGTTTATAGCCTAGGAGAAATAGGATATACCATTTAGCCTAGGTGTGCAGTACACATCTAGGCTTGTGTAAGTACACTCTATGATGTCATTCACACAATGACAAAATTGCCTAACAACACATTTCTCAGAATGTATTCCTGTCATTAAGCAATGCATGACTCTAATTTGTTCAAAAAGGGATGAAATGACCTGTAGTCGTAGTGCCTTAAGACACCATTTGAGTGGGCCAGGCGCGGTGGTTCACGCCTGTAATCCTAGCACTCTGGGAGGCCGAGGCGGGCTGATTGTTTGAGCTCAGGAGTTCGAAACCAGCCTGAGCAAGAGCAAGACCCCGTCTCTACTAAAAATAGAAAACAATTAATCGGACAACTAAAAATATATAGAAAAAATTAGCTGGGCATGGTGGCACATGCCTATAGTCCCAGCTACTCGGGAGGCTGAGGCAGAAGGATCATTTGAGCCCAGGAGTTTGAGGTTGAGGTTGCTGTGAGCCAGGATGACGCCATGGCACTCACTTTAGTCCGGGGAACAGAGTGAGACTCTGTCTCAAAAAAAAAAAAAAAAAAAAAGACACCATTTGAGAGGTTATATTCTCCTTTTATTTGATACTGTGAGCTATACAAAATAGATTCAAATTTAGCCCTAGTCTCTTAATGTCAGGCATGCCCTTATGCCTACTTTGGAGTATTTGGTGCTTTGGTATATTTGCACATAGTATGTTCTCATCTATTTTTCACCTAATTCCTACTCAATTCGTGGCATAGTATATATTAAATAGCATGAGTCAATCTATATATTTTTTAAAACTTGGAAGCATCTGAATTATTTGATTGTAGTAGAACTCTACTTGCAAGGCATGGTTGGGGTGTTTGTAGTTGGGACTAAAATGATGATAACTTGGAAGAATTAATTAGCTTGACCTATATTTGAGGACTTTAATTGGATGCCATAGCTGCAATGAGAATGGAACCAAAGAACTCTTGATATGTAGGATTTTTCATCCTGCTGTAATAGAGAGGAAGATTAGATGTCTCCCTGACTCAGTTTTCTTTCCAATCACTCTGCATTCTGCATGAGACAATCCTTAATCACAGCTTTCATTATAATATTCCTTTGCTCCAGACCTCAAAGGCTCCTTACTGCCTGTAGCATCAAATTTAAATTTTTCTACCTGGTTTTCAAGGCTCTGTGTAATCTTTTCCTCCTTCACTCCTATAGCTTGATTTTTTTCCCCCACTTCTACTATTATCTATCACAAATTTCATTCATGACCGTACCTTGCTTAAGTTGGTTCCCCTTGCCAGGGACACTGTTTCTCCTGTACATGTTGAAATCTTGGAAATCCAACCCTACCTTCACTCCTTCCTTAAGCATTTTCTTCCCAATTAATGCTTAATACCATATATTACTTACTACCTACTAATTTTTCCATGTGGTTTTTTTTTTAACTAGCTATCACGTAAATTTTGAAGGGAGGGACAGCGCAGTCCTATCACATAGCACTCAAAATCATTATTTTTTCCAAATACAATAAGATAATGTTATTCTTGTAAGCCATTCAAATATGAAAAGAGTTTAGTCAGAACCCACTATCTGGCATAACATTTTACCTATACTACTTAGAAGTTTATAATTTAGTCAACAAAATCTGAATGCTTCCTATATGCCAAGCATATTATAGCTATCAGCTCTAGCCCCAACAGCCTTGTACTAGTTATGTAGCAAAACACAAATCTATAAAATAAAGAGGAAATAAGGAAATAGAGAATGAACTGTCGAAGCAAAGATTGGTCATCTTACGGTCTGTATTCAAAGCTGGTGGTAGAACAAAAATAGTAGTTGCATAGTTTCTATCTCTTGATTAATTGAGTGGCTAATTTTGCCTTTTCTCAAAGTTCTTTCACAAGAACATAAAGATATTTTTGTTTCATTAGTCAAGTGCTGTAACTTTTTTCCTTTGTGTTTTTCTCATTAGAGTTATGATTTAATGGTCTATTGTAAATTAATACAATAATTCATCTACTAAAAGGACACATTTAACTAAGACTTTTAAACTTATAAAAGTAGGTATGGATTTCAGTAAAAGTTTCAAAAGATAAACTCTCACTTAAGAAAAACAACAGAACACATCATTGCCAAGTGGTGCTTTTCAGAGATTACCCCACTAAGCACTCTTATTAATACATTCCATTATGCTGAACTGGGCCACTTTACTATAACTCAAGTACACATTTCAATCAGTAAGAGCCCACATATGTTTCCTTAAGTACACCTTAAAGTGATAGAATATAAAGTAGTCTAATCAATCAAATATTATCTTTAATTGAGGGGCAAGTTCCTAAAGATGTTTGTTCATTCATTCTACAGGCATTTTTTAGAAGCCCACTAAGAGAGAAGCACTGTGATAGATCCTGGGATAAAGGCAGCTCACAAGTCAACTGGTGTGGGTATAAATCATGTCTCTAGCACTACAGTAGGGATAATGATGGAGATTCTGAGTATAATTTAAAAAAAAAACAAAACTTCTCCAATGCTGTTAGTCTTTACCTCCTTAATTTAGGTTTTCTGAACTGCATAGTATTCAGATGCATGCAAACACCTTCTTACAGACCAAAAATAGCATTAAATTTGTATAAACTATTTTTTGGGAACCAAGAACCTTTAACATGTTTAAACCAACAATTTATTCAACATCAACATTCATTTACATTTAATAGTCTCTTGATAGTCCATTTTTAAAAACACTGTATCCTCAGAAATTCAGTTTATAAGTTGTTTTCTGCTTTTTTGCTTGTTTGCTTTTGTGAGATTCATGAGTTTTGTTCTCAGGTACATAAATGAAGTATATAGAATAAATACTGTGATTTTTATCTGGGAAAGATAAATGCTGGGACTTAAAACAGAGGCTACCTCTCCCGGGCCCCATGGATCTGCAGTCTTACCTGCTGGGGGAAAGGTCTCCGCGGCTGGCCAGCTGCTCTAGCCCAGAGTTCTCCCCATCCTGCCTGCTCTCAAGGATTTCTTCATTCTGAAGTAAAAGAAATTTTGGTAAGATTTGATATTTGGGGGGCCTCCTTATCTATATTTTTCTTTCCCCAAGTTTCTGTGTTTGATTTTGGTTTTGATTTTCTAGATGACCAACATATCCAGTTCTCATCCTGCTCTTCCTCGGCCTTTCCTCAGCCACTCTGGATCTGTTATAAAAACCCAGTTTTATAACAACAGAGTTGTTACATAAATCTGTTATATAAACCCTTTAGGTTTCCTTTAGGCATGTCAAAAACTCATTCTCAAACTTAGACATCTTTTTCCTTAATTACCAAGGGTTATTGTACTCCTCTTTCCCCCACTGAATCATAAAAAAGACTTGGCGTTTGAGCCAGGAGGGACAATAAAGAGATCCCTGGATTCATCATTTCCATTTTGTTTTTTGGGTTTTTTTTTTTTTTTTTTTGGTGAGAAATCAAGGTCTAGAGAAGTTGTGGCTTGCCCAAGATCAGCAAGAGCTGGAGGCAGAGATTAGGTAGGCCCAGTGTGGGCTCTTACAGACTAGGGAAAACAAGTCCTATCTCAGCATTGGGTCTGCTAGGCAGCATAGAGGACTGGTCGCCAGTGTAGGCTTCGAAGCTAGCTGGTGGTGGGAAGCGCCTCTCCACCACTTACAGCTGTGAGATCGTGGGCAAGCTCAGTTAACCTCTCTGTGCCTTGATTTCCTCACCTAGAATATGGACCCCACGGCACTATCTACCCTATAGGGCTGTGTTGAGGATTAAACGAGAGTGTGTGTAAATGTTTCATGTAGTGCCTGGCAGGCAGGAAGCACTCAAATGCTGGCTAATTACCTACTTGTTCCTTACTAATTTTATGAGGCACTTGTTGCTATCAATATATTATACAAATTCACTTCATTATTAAAACTGTATTTTCTTGAGAGTATGCTGAATAGGAGTCTTACCTTTTTTTGAGAATTAAATACCTAGTATTATTCTAAGAAAGGGCCATGCCTATTTAATTTCTGAGAAGACACTATTAGTATAGATTTACATTCACTTGACATACAGTAAATGCCTAGAATGTGGCAATGTGCTAGATGTTTTATTAATAAAATTAATAAAGGGGTGAATTTTTAAAGTTCATCTTCATAAGACATTTTTATAAGTGAAGATTTAAGTCTTTGTAGTTGTATTTGCCATATTTAGGTTGCTAGTTGAATTACCTTTTTTTAAAAAATTTCAAATTTTCCCCTCCGCTTGTCATTGGGACCATTCAAACAGTGTAATAGAATATAGGTATTATAAAAAACTAATGAAAGTGAATATTGATGAAAACTGGTCAACATTTTGTGTGTGTGTGTATGTTTTGTGGTACAAGACCTACCTCTAAAATTAAAAAGCCAAATAACATCCCTATGGAGCTAATCCTTTAAGGTAAAACTTTTTATTCTTAAAATGTTTTTATTATATGACAAAAAATCTAAGATTTAGACATTTTAGACTTAGAAGCTCAATTTATATGGAGTAATTCTTTATTTTCCTATTTATCTATGGCAAACTTTAGTCCCTGAGGGTCAGAGTAAATAATTTACCCAGGATCAAAATACAAATTAGTGAGTGAGTGGAGATTAGATGGTAAATAACGTCAGTTCTGAAAAAGCACTTCCGTTTCAATTTTTAAAAAAATCTTTTGTTTTTATTCAGTTTTATTAAGGTATACGTTACATACCAAAAAATTAACCTTTTTATGTGTACAGTTTATTGCATTTCGATAAATTCACACAGCTGCGAAACTACTGCAATCAAGATATAGAACATCTTCACCAGCCCCAAATTCCCTTATCTCTTGGCAGCCACTCACTCCCTCTACCTCCAGCTGCTGGAAACCACATCTCTGATGTCTGTCCATGTACTTTTTTTGCCTTTTCCAGAATGTCATATAAATGGATGATGGAGCAGAGTGTGTAGCCTTCTGAATCCAGCTCCTTTCACTTAGCAAAATGCTTTTGTCATACATCTCCATCCTGGGTGTTGCCTCTGTCCATAGTCAATTACTTTTTATTGACTATTTTATATCATACAGATGTACAATTTGTTTACCCTTTTCAATATTTTTAATCATATACTATGGAAACATCATCTAAGCTTTATAAATCAGGTTATGGTTCTGTTTAAATGAGTTATTTTACATTCTCAGAAAAGGGAGCATAGATTCGGAAAAGGACCTCTTGCAAAAGTATTGTTAAGGGCGATTTAATGAGTAAACTTAAAGATCTCTTGTAAATTAGAACTGGACGTTGAAGGATGAGCTTTCCCTACACTGAGGGATAGATGTCTCCTTGCAAAATAGGTGAGGACAGCCTGCTCAGCTAGTTGTTGACAATGCAGCTAGAGTCCTCTCCCTGGGCCAACAGAAAGTAGTCAAGGTAAGGTGGTTTTACTGCCCACAATGCTGATCACAGAGATAGCAATTTAAAAACTTTCAGTGGACTAAAGAAAACTGTGGATCTTTAATCTTTTTTGTACCTATCTTCCCAAATTTGGTATCATATTTAGAAAGCAAGCTAACAAAAAAGTATCTGAGATACTAGTTTTGCCAATTCAGCTCTAAAATAAAACAGCAATCTTATATCCCAAGTTTATATATAATATAGTCTTTTCTTTTTACATAGGATGTCATTCCAATAAGAATCTAAACTTTAGTTCCCTCTATTATATCTATCTGACCAAGGACTAGAAAATATTTTTCATGAATCAATATACAGAAGTAAATACCAGTCCCAGTATTCAAATTCAAACCAATCCAGTTATTTTTACCACAATACCAAAGTGCTTTCTTCACATTTTCTAAATAAAGTTGAACTAATTAATATAGCAGTTAATGTTACACTGTATCCTTTTCTAGTTTCTCATTTGTGACCTTACTAGGCCTGAATTACCCACTAGACTTTGAACTCCATTCGTGTTCATCTTTGGATCACTATCATGCATGTAATACAGTGCCTTTACAAAGAGTAACTACTGTTGGCTGGGTGTGGTGGCTCATGCCTGCAATCCCAGCTCTTTGGGAGGACAAGGTAGGGGGAGGATGGCTTTAAGGCCAGGAGTTCAAGACCAGCCTTGGCAACACAGTGAGACCTCATCTCTACAAAAAATTTTTAAAAAAATTAGCCAGGCATGGTGGCATGCACTTATAGTCCTAGCTAATTGGAAGGCTGAGGCTGGAGAATCACTTGAGCCCAGGGGTTCCAGGTTACGCTGAGCATCCCTGTACTGTAGCTCAGGCAACAGAATGAGACCCTGTCTCTTACAAAAAAAAAAGAGTAACCACTATTATAACAAAACTTCTTCTTACTGTAAAACTTACTCCTGATTGTAAAATGAATTGTACTTTTTCAAACTCTACTGATCTACTGTTTGTGGAGTGGATTATAGAGTCTCTTATTTCATAATAACCTAGCGATGGAAAAATAACAATGACTCAATGTGTAGGTATGGACTTTGTCATCTTTTATACTGAATAATGATGTCTCTCTAATTTATAGACATTGTCATGCATGAGATGCCCTCATGGGCTTGCAGAAAGCCTTGGCACGGACTGGGTTGTGTCAATCCATGTTCCTGCAGCCACATGTCAGGCAGCTTGTGTGGGGGTAGAGGGAGACTCATCTGCCAATCACGTCTGATGGAATACAACACCGGTACCATTGAGGACGTCATGGGAAGGATCCACAGCAGATCTGGGGACTGCTTTAATAAGAGCCTACAGCAAGGTAGTTACACTGTATACTAATGTTTTATTAAGGTTTACACAGATTAGTTGTGTCCTAGTGTAGTGGTTTTCAAAGTCTGACCATAATACATAAGAAGTACATCATAACACACACACTCTCTCTCTCTCTCTCTTAAATAACTTTTAAAAATTTATATTGTAACTGACATGATATACTCTTTTCATTCTGTTCTTTTTATTTATTTTAAAGTGCTAGTGAATTCACCAAACTGAGTTTAATATCAACATTATGACCTGTAATTTCAAAACCTCTTATGGAGTAAAAAGAACACAAAACTTGGTTATGAGAGGTAGCCCTCAATGGCAGCTCCTGTCATGCTTTTTATTTAAAAGTAGTTTTGCGCAAGATTTCTGCACCTTAGTTCTCTCGCCTATAACACAGAGAGAATTATTTCTCCATCAAAGGATTAATGTGGTGATGAAATAATGTATTAAAATGCTTAGCATAAAGAAAGGCTCAATAAATAGCACTTATGATTGGCTTTTTAAGATTCATAAAGTATACTGCCTGACCGTCAGTAAGTACTGGGCGATAGGTACCTACTGATGTATAATATGGGCCCACGTTTCCCACTAGCTGTGAGATGTTAGCAAGTCACTCAATATCCCTGTGCATCAATTTTCTCCTGTTTAAAATGAGGGAGATGTATAATTTGGCTATGAAATGTCCCTCTGCTTATAATATATAATACCAAGATAGATACTATTATTTCTGATTTTGAGATGAAAGCTGATCTGTAGCTAAAGTACTTTTTTTTTTTTTTTTTTTTTGAGACAGAGTCTCACTCTGTTGCCTGGGCTAGAGTGCCGTGGCTTCAGCCTAGCTCACAGCAACCTCAAACTCCTGGGCTCAAGCGATCCTACTGTCTCAGCCTCCCGAGTAGCTGGGACTACAGGCATGCACCACCATGCCCGGCTAATTTTTTCTATATATTTTTAGTTTTCCAGCTAATTTCTTTCTATTTTTAGTAGAGACGGGGTCTCGCTCTTGCTCAGGCTGGTCTGGAACCCCTGACCTTGAGCGATCCACCCGCCTCGGCCTCCCAGAGTGGCTAAAGTACTTTTGGGTAAATTTTAAATTACACTTCCTGAACAGCCTAGGAAGAAGAGGGCATATTCAAGCAAAAGCTTGCTTATCTGGTCTTTTATTCAAATAGTGGAGCAAAAAAATTGACCACAGACCAACTAGCAATTGCTGCCATATTTCTTGGTTAGGGATTCCTTATAAGTTCCACTGAATTA